GATACCCTACAATGTGAATAGGTATCAGAACAGAGGTGCTCAGGAAGCAAGAATGGTCATTTCTGCCTTGTGGATGGTCAGGGCAGGTCTCACTCATTACTTGAGCTGGATCTTGAAGGAAGACTGAGAGGCCAGGCTACCTACTCTGCTTATTTGTCTATGTCCCTACTGGTGTGTGAACTCCTTGTGGGACCTCCTATATTTATCTATGTGTGTGTGGAGTGATGGGAGGGACGACATGTACAGGGCTCCAATGGGAGGCATATGAGTGACCTACAAGGAACTATGTGTTGTTTAGAGTCAGTGTAGTGTACCAACTATTCTTTTGTCCTTTTCCCCCCTCCACTTAAAACTGTGGTTTGGTCAGGGGTGACCTTGAGGGAAAACAAAAAATGTTGAAAGGAACAGAGTTTGGATGAAAATGTGGATTCTTCTTCATGCTCTCAGTATTTGCTAAGGCAGTGCTTGCAATTTGTCTATAAAGACAGTACTTGCTGAGAATTTGATACAATGAGCAGATGAGCATGCAGGCACTGGGGATTTCATAAAAGCCTTAAAGGGCAGGGTCAGAGACTTTGGCTAGTTACATGGTCTATAGAGCTGCACCTGTAACTTCTTCTTAGCCAAACATCTCTCGCAGAGACTATGAGTTGCCTTTCCATGGTGGAGGTGGGTGGAAGTGACAACAGTCATAGCTAACAGCTAATGCTCATTATAAACTAAGCACGTCACATAGGTAGTAAGTGATAGAGCTAGAATTTGAACCCGGTTCTCTCTAACTCAATGTGTTCTATGCTTTTGGTGTGACTCTATGACCAGTGCTGGGGTAGAGGGCTTGGGCAGCCCATTTCCCAGCCTCTGGCTGGTGTGCTGCCTCCCTGAAGTAACAGGAGTAGGGGCTTTCTGAAGCAGGGCATTTTCTTTTTACTTCAGCTCATAATGATTGATAATAATAAAAACAAACATAGTTGGCACTATGTCCCAAGCTTTAAATGTGTTACCTCACTTGATCCTCATAACAAACCTTTAAGGCAGTACCACTTTTCCACTCCTGTTACTGATGAGGAAACGGAGGCCAGAGGGGTTAAGTAATGTGTTCTTAGTCATATGGCTGGTAAGTATTGAAGTCAGAATTCGAAGTTCACACTTTTAATCACAGTGCTGAGAGGTCCCCTATTCATCTACACACCTTTCTTTCTCTTTTTTTCTGTCAACAGATTGTATTTAGCACTTTTTCTGTGCCAGGCCTCATGCCCAGTGCTGGGGCAGAGGGCCTGGGCAGCCCATTTCCTAGCCTCTGTGAATGGCCTTGCCTCTCTGAAATTCTAGTAGTAGGTGCTTTCTGAGGCAGGGCATTTCCTTTTGTTTTTGCTAAAGGAAACAAACTCTGTGACAGGATATCCTCTGCTGTGTTTTCATGTTATCCAAGGGAGAGAAAAAACAAGGCAAGTCTGTGATGAAAAATGGAGGGCAGCCATTTGCAAACTGGAGGGGAACTTGTAAACTCTTTGCTGAGGGTCATTCCAAGGTCTCTGTGGTTTTCTAAGAACCATAATGTGGAGGTTGCAAAAAATGGGCTAACTACATTTTGACTTAAGGCAGTCTTCCACCCTGCAAGTGGTTCTAACCTACTATTCCTTCCCCTGTCTCAGCCTCTCCCCTCCAAGGATGTGCAGTACTGCCCTAGGATCCACCAGAAGCTTTGCTTCAAAGCTGAGGATTTGAGCTTTGCCTCTCATTTGTAATCTTGTTATTGCTACCCTTTGAGGGAGTAAAGTTTCAAGTAAGATAAGGCAAGAGGAAATCCTCTCAAGACCCTTGGTGTGAGGAGAGATAACTGAAGACTGTTGCCCCAAGGATGTTTTGCTTTCTTTTCTTTCCAATCCTCTGGGGATTTGCTTTTTTTCTCATGTCCAAACCTGAGAACCCCATTGGACTGGGCCTCAGTTTGTCCCTGAGACCCAGAGTTTGAGTAGTGATATGTCTTCCAGCCTTCAAATCTTCCCTCTCAGCATTTGGACTTCCTTTACTCTTCTTTCTGCCTTCTGTATGAAGCAAGTAGTGAGAAGAAAAGGGCCTTTGACACATAGCTAAACACAGTGTAAGATCAAAGAGAGGGAAGGAGTAATTACAGTAACCACAAACCCCATTCATTTTAGCAAGTCAGGTTGGAAATGCTTTCAGAAAGGAGTGGACCCAGACAGGCTGGGGTGGGGGGCATGGAAAAATGGAAAGCCTTACGATTTTTGCCTCCTAAGTGGGTTTTGTGAGAAGTAGGGAAGTTGAAAGCTATGTGGGTAGCCCTATGCAGGGAGGTTTTAAAAACTGAAAGTATAACCTAAGGAGTGTGTTCAGAAAATATTATTTCATTTCTCTGGCTGAGTGTCATGAACTTGAGAATTTAAGCACCACACTCATGGTGAGAAAGAGAGAAAGGGAAAGGGAATGTGAGTCTCTGGCATGATCTCTTCTTGGCTTGGCTGGAAATACAGTTTAGGGGCAGATTGGATGCTCAGAAATTTTCTGTGGTGCTGCTGTCCCACCCCACCTGCCTCTTCTCACACATAGCCCTTTTGGGACTCTTCATACCTCTGAGACAGGTGTGTCCTAGACAACATTTGATAGCTTCCTTTCCCCCACTATTTCTTTAGCATGAGAAGTCACTGGTCTCCAAGGTGAATAACCTTCACAGTTTGCTGGGACTGAGGGTTTCCCTATGACCAGGAAAGTCCCCAGTAAACCAGGATGGTTGGTCAACCTATGTCCCTAACTCAGGGCATTATAGCTGGTGCTGATCTGAGGGATGTCACAAAGGTCATTTGGGGCCTCAGAACACAGCTTTCCATCCCTGGTATGTATTCAACAAGTATGGTTAATGGAACTTCACTTAGTTAGCTGGCAGAGACTAATCTGGTGTTGAGATCTACTGGGCCAGGGTGAGCAAGCACATGAGTTAATTGACTTTCCCAGTTTATGGCTGCTTAGTGGAGATGGTGGCTGCCTAGTGGGGATGTAGCTCAGGTGGTTAGATTTGGGGCCTAGCTGTGTTCATTTGTGGTCTAAATGTCTCAGGAGAGGGTGATTTTATCTTCTTTCTCAGGAATGAAACAGTAGTTTAGAAAATACAAAGAACATGATGCTAATTTACTGCTCTCCTCTTGGGGACATAGGTGAGTGGAAGGGAGAGGGTGAAAAGAGGGAAGAGGAAATGTTTTCTATGGTTCAGATGCTGTGAAGGAGAAGTTTAAACTTGTAGGTAGGAAGAATTGTCCTCACTGAGAACAGATATTTAGCTGTCCTCACTGAGCACAGATATTATTGTGACCAATAATAGTGGAGGCTTGGGTGCTGGATGCTGGGTTCATTGTCAGGAATAGTGAGGAGTGACCAGCCACCCCAGTGTTAGCACTGAAACTCTGATGTCCTGGGAAACTGTGCCATCCTAGGCAAACCATAGTGTCTGGTTACCCTAGTGAAGGGGTAGGCTCTAGGATGGGCTGTGAACAGAGTTTTTGGCCTGAGCACATAGAGGTGTTGAGAGCCAGAGCTGAGAATTCAGAGCTGTTTTGGGAGAAGTTCAGGGTCCAGAATTTAAATCACAGGAAAAAGAAAAAAAAAAAAAAAAAGCTTATGTAGTCAGTACTCTGAATCAAGAAAACCAATTATCTGTAGTCCATGTCTTCTGGGCAAGCCCTTGGGTATGGCAACAGCTCGAGTCTGGCTGATGCAGTCACTGACTCTGAGAGCCAAGGGAGCAGCTGAGAGCAAAGGTCCCACACCTGGGGATTGTTTTGGGATAAAATGAATGCTTGGGCCCCAAAGTACAACAGCCTCTCATGAAACAGTTCTGCTCAGTGATTTTTTTTCTAAAATTCTTTTTGGAAAATCACCCTCAGAACTATCTGCCATTTCTAAAGTGGAGGAGCTGGGGTGGAGAAAGACTTTTGCCTTCTACCCTGTATTTTTGATCCAGAGGGCAGGTTTCAGCAGCCATGGAAGGTCCCACAGGGAAACTCAACGGGGTTGGCATTCTGAGCAGCCCAGCTGGCCTGCTCAAGCCGGTCTTCCCTGGCTCTCTGGAAAAACACATGCTTATACACCTGAGCAAGAACTATTTTTGTCTTCTAGAATCCAGTATAAATACTCATATGTCCTGTGACCTTTTAAAATGAAACGCAATTCTCTTTTCTCTGAGAATAAAGATGTTCTTCATTTTTTATCTGTTGGTTGGGAGAATAAAGTATGATTGCCTGAGTTCTGAGGGATTTGAGAGAGTGGGTCTTTTGTTCCCTTAAGGAAAGAGGAGATCTAGCTTATCTTGCTTACCACTGAATTTCAGAGCTAAGACCAGTACCTGACATACAGATGCTAAGACTGCCCAATGAGCAGCTCATCATTCTGAGTGAGGGTAGCAAGCTAAAGGCAAAAATTCTCAAAGCACCCTGGGACCTTTAAACAATCTCAGTGCCCGGGCCACACCGCATACCTGTTAAATTAGAATCTCTGAGGGATGAGACCCAGACATTAACATTTTAAAACCTCTCCAGATGACTCCATGGTGCAGCCAAGTTTGAGAACCAGTGCTGTAGGGTCCTGTTACTCAAAGTGTGGTTTGCGGCTGAGCAGCTGCAAGCGTCACCTGGAAGCTTGTTAGAAATGCAGACTCCCAGGCCCCATCCTAAACCTACTGAAGCAGGAATCAGCCTTTTAATAAGGTTCCAGGAGATTCATAGGCACATTAAAGATTGAGAAGCATTGCTGAAGGTTGTAGGGGATACAAAGAATCCACTGGTGCTTAAGGTCCATGAAGTGGAGAGTAATGGGAAATAAGGCTGGGAGGTAGGCCAGGGCTGTCCTGAAAGCCAGGCTGTGAAGCTTAGACTTAATTGGACAGGTAGTGGAGAGCGAAGAGAAGATCTTGAGTATGGGAGTGATATGATTGGAACAGTGTTTTATGGAGATGAATCCCTTCCTCAGAATGTTAATGCCTTCTCCTCCAGGTGCTGCTCCCAGCAGCCAGCTTGCTGCAGCTCATGGATGTTCGACAGAACTGCTGTGACTTCCTGCAATCGCAGTTGCATCCCACCAACTGCTTGGGCATCCGGGCGTTTGCAGACGTGCACACCTGCTCTGACCTTCTGCAGCAGGCCAATGCCTATGCAGGTAAACGGAGCTGGGCTGCTGCATCTCCTCTGAGCTGGTGGATTTGATAACCTTGGCTGCTGTGGACTCCTCAAAGATTATGAGAAGTGGTGTCTGCTGTGAAGCAAATACAATTTAGTTAGGGAGGCAAGATATAGGTGGGAAGCTAATTAACAATAGACTTGATTATCTCATTGCCAAGTGGAATATGATTAATTGTCAGATGGATGGTACAAACAGTGATTTCACAAGAGTCAAGGAAGGCGATCTGATAAGATGTAGTGGGGGAAGAGTAATTTGAGCTATGTCTTGAAATAAATCTTTTTATTGGTGTTGTTTAAGAAAATTTTTATTTTTGAGCAAAGTGTTTGAAGAACACAATTTTTTAAAGTCAAATACTGTTGTGACTCTGATAATGAAAAGCAAGTCTGCTCTGCCTCATCACACCAAGTCTTGTTCTCAGAAACAATCACTTTCAGTTCTGAAAGAATTAATGTACAGGTTCTGATTCAGCTAAAAGCTGACCTGTATGCTATTCCTCCAAGGAACGTTGGGCAATCTACTTCTGTAGTGATACTATTTCGGAAACCCAAGGAGGGGTTGCTATGAGTTGGATCCTACTCACCAGCAGTGAGTTTGGTTTTGGTATCTAAATAAGATGTTTATATTGCTGTGTTATGATTTATTACTTTTAGATATTATCTGTTGAATTCTAATGGAAGAATAGGATTGAACTTTCATAGACTTTGCCTTCACATATATACTCTTCCCTTCTATTTATTCTGCTACTATCATTTCTGCAACTGAGATAAGTCATGTATTACGATTATAGATTTTTTATCAGCATTTTTTTAAATCAGAAAAGAAGTGAATGACTGCCTTTTTGTTTTTCATAGTATGTGTTTCTACCACTAATTCTTATCAGATACAGATGAGCAGTCCTTCGCAGTATGTCAGATAATTTGTTGATACCCATTTTATTTTTCCTAGAGACCATCCTCTACCCCCTGAGTTTGTCATCCTGTTATTTTGAGAGGGAGTGAAGATAAATGTGGATGTTCAGTCAGGCATGTCGGCTGGAAAAAAATCTGCATTGCTGTTTATTTCAGCTTGAGAATGAAGGTCATGAATGACCCAGGGAATAGGCCTGGTCATTTTAATTGATAGATTCAGTCATAGCTACCTCCTTTCTTTACAATAAAGCATCTCACCCTTCTCCCTGTCCAAATGAACATTGTCATGCCTGCTGTTTGGTCTGTGTCTCCTGTCTAACCAATGTCTGGAAATTAGCTGAGAGCCTGCTGGCTGCCCACCTGCCAGCTATCTGTGCTGTGTTAGCCCCTTAGTCCATCAGGCAAGAAGCATTTATGGGTTTTTTTTTTTTTTTTGCATCCTTTTGTTCTCTGATCAAGGCATTGGACTGGGAGCCTGCACACACTCTCATTTATTGCTGAAGTCTGTTTCCGAGGCCACAAACAGGACCAATTGTGAACATGATCTTGATGATGATTGATTTTTGTGAAGGACATTCCCCAGTAGCCTAATCCTGAATTTTGCTGTCTCTTTTTGGCTCTTAGCTTGTTTATCTCCCTGACCCTCCTGTATCTTTTCTCCTTTCTCTGCTGTTCCTCTTGTGCCCTTTTCTATACATATTCTCTGCTTCTTTTTGACCTTTTGTCAGGGAGCCCTGTCTCTCCCTGGGAAGGGCTCTTCAGCCCAGCCTTTGGAGATTCCACTTTCTTGAAGGATGTGGTCAGGTTTTTCTTCAGCAGGTGGCCAGAGCTTGGCCATGTAAACATTTGCCAGTGTAGTGGCAAAGAAAAAGTGCTTAGATGCCAGGACTTCTGTGTCTCCTTCCTTATTTGCCTCATCTTCCCAACCCTCCATTTTGACACAGTGTGCATGCACACACATCACTCATCCCATCCTTTGTAATTGGCTAACACGATCATCGGAGATTTGGGGAGTGTGCTGACCCACAACCTTTGACAAAGGCTCCTGGGTTTTCTGGCCTGACTTCTCTCCACTTTCATGATCTCTTATTTCTTCTCTTTCACTCTCTGATAATGAAATTCATCTGTAAGAGAGTGGGGAGGATGCTATTGGGACATATCCATCTTCTTGGAGCTTCCTGGTTCAGATGTTGTCACAGTGACGGGGCTCTGCCAGCAGTGTGGGCGCATGTGTGTACACATGCATATGCAGATACCTTGATGGATTATTTTTAGATAGCATTTGTTAAGCTCTCACATTGGATCACGCCATATGCTAAGCATTTTATGTGCATCATTTCATTTAATGCATGTAATAACTGAGGAAAATAAAGCACAGAGAGGCTGAGTAATTTGTTGAGGTCATATAGCTAGTAGAGACAGAGGCAAGTTTCAAACCCAGACAGTGATGACTCCAGAACCAGTGTTTATAATTATTACATCCTACTGTTTCTAGGCTGAGTTTGGACATAAGGTATCCCTGTGAATCAGTAACTTAGGTGTGTAGGTGGCTAGAGTTGGCATTTTCCATTGGGAGTCTGTGCCATGTAGTCCCCAAATCCCAGCAACCATAAATGTAGACAGACATCCATCTGCTTCTGCTAGACACAGGGTGTTTAGTCATCTTGGGGAGGGGGCAGTGAGATGTGTCTTATCTTCCCTGTTGGGAGGCTCCCACTGTCCTCACACTTTCCCTGGCTTGATTAGCGTGATGTTCAAGTTTAGCGTCCCCTCCTCTCTGTCCTGCAGGCCTTCTGTTGAGCCTACACACATCTCCTGCATGGCTTTCTTTGCAGCCCTCAGCCATACAGTGCAGTAAGGTCATATTTTTAAGGTAGTATGGTAATGCAGGGGTTGATAGGACATGATAAAAAGACAATAGAAGGGGAAGACTTTTCACATTGTGAAAGTAAGACTGTCTCTAGAGAAGGAAGGAAAAAAAAAAAATGATCTGTGCTTACCTCTCTCTACCCATCCAGTGATGTGAGCCTGCTTTGTTTTCTTTGTCTTGCACCCCCTGACTTTACATGACCATCATTGTTCTTGAGACAAGCTGTCATCTCCATAAGTGTGGAGTGTGGCTAGGGTCACACACAAGGGTCACTGTTGGCCTCTGTGTTCATAGCATTTTCTGGGCACCACAGGCTATGAAAAGTGACAGATTTTGCTGAGCCTGTGCCTTGAATTCAAGAAGAGCTTCAAGCCAACCAATTATAAAGAGATCTTCCTGATCAGGACTAGGAATCAGATCAGAAATCACTTTGGAGCAGAATGGCCCTGGGCCTGTTGCGAAGGGGTTGGTACATTCTGTCTTGCCTCTCAGGATGGTTTAAGGATCAATAGGGGTAGGGAGGGAGCAGAGCCTCCTGCAAAAGTAGGCACCACGTGGTGCGGTGCTCTGGTGCTCTCCCTGCCACCTCATCATCTGCAGTGAGAGAGCCTTTGAACCAGGCCTGTGGATGGACAAGCATCCTCGGGTCACTGACTGCCACTGCTATGGTCTGCATGCACTTTTGGGGAAGAGGAGCATTTCCAAAGCTTCCAGTTTTGGTTTTTCTATCCAAATGTACAGGCAGGCAGGTCCAATACTGCTTCCCCACTCTTTCCAGTCTGGCCAGCTGAGCTCTTCTTCACTTGTCTGCAGCCTCCTGCTTTGCCTCTCAATTCTGTTCGGGAGAAATTTCTCCAAGATAAGTTTTCTTTTTTCAGTTATTATTGTTATTGTTATTTTAATATAAAAACTATCCCTGATCATTACAGAGAAAGCAGTCAGGCAGAAAGAACATGATAAGCCCCACAGTCCTACCCAGAGAGAACCACAGACAGCTTGTTGTCATTGTTATGTACTGTCGAGTCGTCTCCAACTCATAGTGACCCCTCCTTGGGTTTCTGAGGTGGTATCTCTATGAAAGTAGATTGCCCAACTTTCCTTTCAAGGAGTGGCTGGTGGGTTTGAACTGCCAAACTTTTGGTTAGCAGTCAAGTGCCTTAGGCACTATGCCACCAGATCTTTCATTGCATATGTATGTTTTCCAGAAAAAAAAATCTTAGCAGTACATTCTGAACATCTTTCCATGTCAACAGATAAATTTCTATACCTTTATTTAAAAACTTTAGTAAATGTATTTAACAAGCTACTTATACTCATGATAAAAAGAAAAAATTCAAACAGAACACATAAGTATAGGCCAAACTCCCTGCCATCAAGTTGATTCTGACTCATAGTGATCCTATAGGACAGAATAGAACTGCCCCATAGGGTTTCCAAGGCTGTAAATCTTTATGGAAGCAGACTGCCTCATCTTTCTCCTGTGGAGCAGCTGGTGGGTTTGAACCATTGACCTTTTGGTTAGCAGCCCAATGCTTTAACCACAGCACCACCAAAGTTCCCTCATAGTATAAAATACAAAGTGAATCTCCTTATGATCGCACTCTCTGAATTCTGTAATATATACGGAATTTATATATTTTACTTTCTAATGTATACAAATAGAAGCATCTATACTCATTGTATTTTTTTTCCCACTTAATACTAAGTCTTGGAGTATTTAGGACTCCAGATACTTGTACATAGCTATATCTTATTGTTTTTATTGGGTGCTTCATATAACTGAACCATAGTTTATTTAACCAGCTCTCTGTGATGAACATTAACAATTCCAGTTTTTTTCTTTCATATGAAATGCTTCAGTGAGAATTCTTACACGTAATTATTTTGTAGTATATTCATTTGCTAATACAGTATAACATGCAATCTTAGTAGCATAATTGTTGGATCAAGGAGAATGTACGTTTATATATATATTTTGATAGATATTACTATTCTCCCCTAAAAATGTAACTTTATTTTTAAGGCCAGCCTCTGACTTCTGATGTCTTCAGCTTTCCTGGTGAGAGCACTAGGAGGCAGATTTACTATGACTTTGTGGGGTTGGCACATTACCCCATCCAGCTGCCGGTTGGGTTTCCTGTTTGGAATGGCCCTGTCTCTTCCTGCTGTGGCAGTCCCTCCTCCTTCCTGTGGATCCA